TTGTCTGGATATGACAGTCATTTGGAATGCCATTGTCTGGATATGACAGTCATTTGGAATGCCATTGTCTGGATATGACAGTCATTTGAAATGCTATTGCCCAGACACAGCATGTGTTTTTAATTATAGAAGTTACCTACCTTTAACTTTGGGTAATATTCCAGTAATTTCTTCTGCAAACTGAAAATAAATAAAATTCAGGAAACTTTTTATTATTTGACACATCCTCATACGAACGTAACCCATGATATGACAAAGTTGAAATTAGTAAGGAAAAATGAAATAATTTTCATTTAAACTGAGAGAAAACAATAATTTTTCAAAATACTCACTTGGATGAAAGTCCATTGTGAGGGGTGAATATAAAATCCATAATAGGAAAGAATTCATTTGGACCAATCACTCGATACCCAGCTGACTTGTCCTTGCGATTTCTGTTGAAATATAATACATATATTGTCAGTAAACCTAAAAGGCGATCGGTAACCCACTATGACTGATGTCAATGCCATGTTTGAATGTAATCGATGAAAGCATTTATGTCCAAGAAACGGTTGATGACATATTTGAATTGTGTGATTTTTTTCGCTTTTGATGAAAATGGCTGCCATTCGGCTAAATACAATGATAAAAATAACTGCACTAGCATTCCAAATGACTGCCAAATCCAGACAATGGCATTTCAAATGACTGCCATTTCCAGACAAACAACATTTAACCCATTATCACTTGTCTTTGTACAAAACTTAACCCAAATCTGTACAATCATTTCTGTAAAATGAGCAGAACACCAGTCCGCCATTTTGAATCGAATCACACAAAATAATTACATGCATCAGTAATCCACCATGACTTAATGCCAAGTTTGAATGAAAGGCATGTCCGAGAAACGGTTAATGACATGTCCAAATGTTGATTTTTGGTACAAAAATGGCCACCAGTCGGTCAAAGGTCAACCAAATCAAAAATAAAACGATGTGCACATGTCTCCCATTATGACTCGTCTTTGTACCAACTTTGAAGAAAATCTGTCCAGGCATCACTGAGAAATGACGACGACGTGTCACAACATGTTGAATTAATGTTCCATGTACCATAGACCACACCACAGCATGCGATACTGTGTTTGATTTCATTGAAAGTGAATACAGATTTGTAGCAGGAATTCTCCCAAAGTATAATAATAGTGAGGCGATGACCAAATAAATGAACCTTGGCTGGCAAAGATGATAATTAGTTTGCTATGTCGGGACACAAATCACTTACTTGAATAGATTACCGAGGTACAATACAACGAAGTTAGTCAGCGCTTTGGTGCTCAAATGAGGAAACATCAACTCCAACCAGACTAAAGAAAACATAAATAATGTATCAGTTTAGATAGAAAGAAAGCAGAAGTTAAACACAGCTGCATATATGCGAAATACATTTATATCTATGGCGGATGTCAGGTGACTTCGCAAACACCAAGCAGCAAATTGCTGCAGCACTTTTGACCAAACTTTCAACGAAAACTGTTAATTACCAGAAACTTAAATTTTCGATTGAAATCTTCAGTAAAATTTCAATTTGAATAAATTGTGGTGTAGGCGGAATGAAAGTGAGGTTATGTGGTATGCATGCATATTGTGCGTTTTCTGTCCTACACATACACCACACTTTGCAAAAAGCAGAATCAATGGTGGTGTTGACTGGGTAGCAGATGACCCAAGTATGTGAATATCGCCAAAACACCTGAAGTGAACTTGCAGTTTATTCAAGGTTATGATAACTTGCTAAGAATAATTTGATTGTTATATGGCGAGTCTTCTTTCCAATCACAAAACAATATCGCCAGTTTTTAATCCTGTTCGCTCATCTCAGATTGGGAGCTAAAAGAGAGCCACGGCTATTGGGAATACCATATTGACTCCATTAGAAGCGCATAAACTTGTCCACATTACAGGTCATACTTTAGTGCTTACTGTGTATAACACATGCAATTTTTGGTTTTTAAGCGCTTCTAATACTGTAAAATACTTTATTTCGGCTGGAATTAATTTTCTCTGAAAAGACTTTTTGGGTGTTTTGTATGGAATTTATTTTCACTGATTTTTGATGAGTTGAATGTAAAATATAGAGAAAAAGGTATATTCCACTGGATTTTATTTTTACTGAATCATCCCTTCAGCGAAAATAGTGAAAATAAATTCCAAGTGGAAATAAATTATTTTACAGTATAGAAAATTCTTTGAATTGTTGATAATGGTGGTGTTACAATAATGGTGTGTAGCGGAGACATAATAATAAACTTCTGACTGTGGAATTTTGTTCCGAAATCACTCTACATTGTAGACTGCACTATGCCCCCCCACCCAAATAAGACAATAAACAACTCACTTTTGAGTCCTGTCTCAAAGTTTCTGTATCCAGCTTGTCCAAGTGACCACATAACAGACAAACAACTAGCAGGTCCATTCTGCTTCTTGGAAATCATATCCGAATACTATAAATAAATTAGACATTAGACATATAACCATAGCAACAAGACAGGCATAGCTCTCAGCGTAAAAAAGATTTAGCTACACAAGAACCATGTGAAACTAGATGCAACTTATTCTGAACTGTCGTCGCTATAGCAACACGTTATTTTTTGGACGAAATATTCTTTGTAAGACGTATTGGGTGAATGTAGAATGTAAAAATCTGTAGAAAATCCGGTTTAATAACACATCCAAACTGCGAGCATGATATGGAGGATGGCGCCCTCAGTGGTGTACTGATAATAATTTGGCTCAAGAGGGCACTATTTAACTAACTTACTAACATGAATGCTTTCAAATTAACAAATCAAGAGATTAATAGTGACAAAAATAAAACAGTTTACATGGATAATTTAAATAAACACAGTAAAAATTAATCACCCCCACCAATGCTGCAATCGTCTATTTTAATACTAAGTCAAATTACCAAATTCATTCCCTGGAAGAAATTGGGGGGGCGAGGGGAGGGTTTAAATAAAAATTCCAGTGCGTTCTATATTTGTATCAGTAACTTGACAAATAAGATAAACAGCAGCACAATTATAGCACTGAATACACAGCAGGGGATATATCAGGTTAATCACAGGTACCGTAAAATTCCTTTTTGAGGCCGCAGCTTTAATAGAAGCCGCACCCCTAACTTGAGACATTGTTTTGTGTTGAAATTGACAAGTTTTGATCCCAGGGAAAAGTCTGCAATATAAGCCGCACCCCAAACTTTCATAAACCAAACAGCCACCACATATTTCAGAAAAAGATATACCATTTAATTTTAAATTAAGGCATGATTTTTCGAACATTTCAATGATTCCTGACGCTTAAATTAGAGTCTAATTGAGGTTTTTCGTAGTCATTGACGCTTATTCCAGAGTACAGGTTTATTGTGGGTAACGTGACTGAGTAAACTGCGTTTCGACACTGAGCTGTTATTATCTTCAAAAGTGTTAAATTCTTCTTCAATGCTCAGCTTATTTTTCGAAAACAACTAATTTCTTGATTTAAAAAAAATCATGCTGCTTTCCCATCAAAGCCAAAGCCAAACGATCGCACTACAACAACGATAAATCGAATCTTTTCCGTGTTGCGTTTACCATGAGGTCACTGAACTACATTAACATATTTAAATGAGCTATGGTAATTTAATCATGTTGGCACCATCCAGCGTTTCGATTGGTTAATTAGCGACTTGACCTATCAGGTCAACATAACAGTTTCAAGTCACTAAAGATGTTTGAACTAACATGGCGGATATCTCATCGAATCGAGCATTTATATGTGACCAAAATCATTCGCTTGCGGTGAAACTAAGTTGAATTTTCACAACAATTCAACAAATTTATTTTGTGTACATTATTGTAATCACTACTGATTAATAATCAGCAATTGTAACACTTCGAAAACAAGTAAGTTATTCACTTGTGTGAAACGCAGCATGATCGTTACCGTGATCATTTGCTACTAAGAATGCATTCGTTTTTGTTTTGGCTTCTTTTAGAATATACTTTTCGTTATCAAAAATAAGAAAATAAATTCATATTACATTAAATAATAGTATTTTTTTCGTTATCTTTTTTTTTTGATTGACTTTTTTTATTTTAATTTCCCCGATGTCTAGATTAAACATGGAATGTACACTCTGCCGGAAGTCGAACAAGTCTGGCCTTTGTTTTCTGAAAAAAATTCCCACTGTTACTGAAGTGAGTGCTCTAATTAAAGTCGCACCAAGACTTCACGCATCTGAATTCGTCCATTGAAAAATGAATTTTAATTAAAGCCGCGGCCTCAAAAAGGAATTTTACGGTACTTTACGCGTACAATACATCCATGTTTACTCTGAGTAACATAGTATTTACATCACCGTGTACTCATTATTTCTGTGCTTCAACCTCCAACTACGAGTTTACAGACTTATTTGTTTCCATCCAAAATTTTAAACACCCCAAAGAACCCTAATAGTTTGCCCGAATATTCCTTAACAAATCATCGCAAATAAAACCACATTAATTGCAATGTAGTTCACATGTCCACGTCTTAATATCTAGTTACAATCAAGATCTCTGTGCAAGCCCATAAAAGATTAGTTTACTTGTTACATTGCCATGGCAATCGACAGTACATACCTTGGGTATATTACTAATTGGTACATGGGGATATTCACGTGCAATGCATTGTAGATAAATACGGTAACCATAACTTGGCAAATCTGCAAAAGAAATCGATCACTTTCATCAATTATAGTAACGACACGTTTTCTACTTGAAATGCCATAATGCATGGATGATTTGGGACATAGCAACAGCAAAAAAATTACAAGTAATTGATAACAAATACATCTCCGTTTCAGGTTTGAAGATCCAATCTTTGTCAATATCTGCCTCTCGTAATAAATACTAGTATCACATGATTTCAATGTGATCTACATGTCACATCACACTAGAAGTACACCCTTGCATCTAATACGCCCTTAATTGTACTTACTCTTTTTTCGATCACTGATCATCTCTTGAATACAGAATTCATAAAATAACTGAATAGTAGCGGGAGAACATTTCTTCAGTGAGGATATCATGACGTTCCTAATACCATTACCAACTTTACTGAGTGGATAATCTGAAAACAGAAGAATTTTGCACTGACAGCAACAAATACAAAATCCATTGGCTTTTTAACTGGTGGGTAAAATCTGCACTGTCAATCGTAGTAAATTGATGTGGCCACAGTGAACTTTTTTTCAATATTGTTTATTTCAAAATTAAATCATATAAATTTGTAAAAAGTTATTATTTATTATTTTTACATCAACTTATTCAATGTGTTTCTGGTCACTCCACTGAAGTAGTTACATAGTGAAAAGATATAGTGGATACAATGAAAACCTTATTGTGTACAAGTTCAAAGTTATTTAACGAGGCAAATGATCTCCAAGACCTTTTCCCAAACTTTCTTGCATTTTTTCAAGACATTTTGACCCTTAATTCAGGCCAACAACATAACCAAAGCTCATCACAGTTCTATGGACCCTGTAACACCACTATTTTCATGTAGAGGTATTGCTTGAACATAGTACAGCAATTCCAATATGTTTTATGGTTATTGTATTCTCAAATGTACTGCAATAAGTTAGCTGTAGAGGACTTCTGTATTAAAAAAAGGGGTATAACATCAAACAATTGCTGTCTTTATTTCTATGCCAAAATTCTGTCACAGTTGACGAATGCAGTTTATGTGTGTGGGTTTGAATTGAATGCCTGTCACATCTTTAAAAATAGATCTGTACTCTGTACACCTTCTTACCGATTGGTTGGTCAGTAAATACAGGATCACTTTCTTTCACATTCAGTTTCAAGTTCATGAAAGTTACCAAGTCCTTGACCCAAAGCTGGGGAAAATAAAAAACAAACATACAAAATGTAAAAAGAAGCTTTGCTGGATTCTCACACAGATTGACATTATATGTAATTCAGTAATACATGCAAACTTAGAGAACGACACAAGAACTATTGGCAATGTTCGACCATATTATGCAATTAAAATTTGAATGCCATTTTATACAATATTTTAATAATTTCCTTGATATTTGACATACATGTATCTCATTTTGATACATCTCATTTTCTACAGGTTTCAAATTTTGTGAAACAAGCAGCCTCAAATCAATCAGTATCACTTTTTACAAAAAATGAGAAAAATATTCATCAAAATTAGAGAATTAAAGATATCAACATGAAATGAACAAATCTAAGAGAGGTCTACCCTAGGTACATATACACAAGTATCAAAGCAATCTGACTTGTGGTTTTGAAGAAGAAGTCGAAAAAGTGAAAAAGTTGACACTGACATATTGGTGAAAATAACAATATTAAAAACAGACAAATAATTAATTACTTACCGAAGAATTATTTGGAAACTTGTTTTGCACTTCCGTGAACAAAGATTTCATCTCATTAACATCCAGTGTCTTCAAGGCTTCTTCCAGAGTTTTGTAGCCGCCATCTTTTTTTGTATTTTTCTTCGATACAGTTTTCTTATTGCTTTTAGCTTGCTTTGAGGGAGTCACATTATTCTGTGTTTTCGGCTTTGACTTTTTGCCTTTTTCAAAAGCTTCAAACATCGTTGATGACTGCCCAATAGTGGCTGTAATCAGATGAATAATTTTAATCAGCAACGTACATTAAATTGATAAAATAAATGAATAAAGTACTGAATGCCAATGAAAACGTTGTTACATGGTGTACTAAGTTTGCGCGAATAAATTTCATGTAATAGGCTTGCATAAATTACATTTCATGAAAATCACTGACATTTTGTTGAACCCAAGTGCATTAACACGCCTACACCGTAAATTGTATATTTTCTTATCAGTAAATGCATTGTGGTTTACATATATCCACAAAACTAAAAAGCAGTGATTGACGGAATGTTTGTTACAGCGAGAGAAATATGCAAATTGTCATTTTTAATACATTCACCTATTATACGGGGATTAAAGTAAGTCTTTTGTTTGCTCGCGTATAATTCACCATTCTACAGAGAAAAAATTCAGGGAATTGTTACAGAGTGAAAACATTATTATACCAGTAGCACAGTTCATAAGTAGAAGCTTTGAAGTCAGGAAGCAGGATCTTACTTGACATTTTATTGCCTGCTGTCAGTAATATTAACTTTTACTTTTTCTGTTATGGCAAATTTTGTTGCACTCATGAGCTTAAATTTTCAATACTGTAAATCACCAACTACAAAATTAAACAATTACTGGGTCCTACTTTAAAAGGACAAATGTGTGAATCAAAATCAATGACCAAGAATATGAATTTTCCATACAAATCCAGGATGGTACAGCAAATATTAAACAACCTAGGATTTCTAGACATAAAACATGTAAAGAAAATAACAAGACTTTCATGAGCTGTGCCAGACTGTTGTCACCTTTCAATTTTTCCCAGATTTGTTTTTCAAAAAAAGTTGATAATGCAGCTACCAAGGACAAACAATGATGATGTGATCAGATGATGAGTTAATCATAAAACAGATTTCCAGGACAATGTTGTTCGTTAACCCCTTCACATTTATCTATGAGGTAACCGAATATTTGATAAATTTCACAGGATTATTATTTACAATACTATAAAAATGTGTATTTATACAATATCACTATTATTCTAGTACCCATCTCACACCACACGTGCACAAACCCATGCCATATGGTACAGTCAACACATTACAAACGATACAGGTTACAACACAAAAGAATATACAGCAACTAGGTCCAATAATTTTGTTATAATATGGTTAATTCGAGTTTGTTTGTTTTTAAAAAGTTGATGCTCGTTTTATGTTAAGAGTGCAAAACACAGTGTTAGTATAAATATAGTACTAACGCACATTGGGTTTTTTCAATGATCGTAAAAAATTGTAGTAGTACTAGTGTAATCTTACGGGAATTAATTTTTTGATTGTATAAAATAAACTTTTAAACACATCTGCCGATTTCATGATGTTTGAACATGCTAAAATCAATAACGGGGGAACCCACAGAAGCCCGTCGACAAAAAAATATTAAAGCTATGTTCATCATAACAGGTTGTAAACACCCTAATTTGAATTTGAATGACAGTTCCCAAGACCCAGAACACGACACGTGTACAAAGGGGAATGAAAAAAAATGTTTTCGTCCATCGTCGGGAAGCGATTTGAGCAAAAGTGACGATATGACTTACGGAGTTCGTCAATGGTTGGTCGATTTTCCGCCAGAGCCTTTCGAGCAGCTTTCTTGTCGGCGATCGTAGCCTTCTTTTTGTGTGTTACCGTTTCCCACTGTGTGCTGGACGCCATTTTTAATTGAATGAACTATGGGATGGACTGGACTCCCTAGCTTTGGAAATAAAATGTACGGTGCAGATAGGGGGTTATTTCTCGACGCTTGGGCTGCTTGCAAAATAACAACGGGTGAGCATATACGACAATGAGGAGGAAAAATAGACAATTTCAGAGAAAGCCACACGCTTTAAATTGAATTTTAACACAACAAGTACAGTTTATATATTATGAGTAATCCTTAAAACATAAAGCAAAACTAACATTGCATCGCAGTAATACAAATCCATGTCCCACTCTTATTTGAAATGGTACCACTCCTCTTTGAAATGGTACGCCCCTAATTTGAATAAAATCAAAATATTGAAAGACCCTAACCTTTTGTTGGTACTCAGATGACGAGTCTGAGGTTGGTAGAATCCCCGGGTAGAATCAGGCTTCAATAGAATGATGTGAACAGAAATATGGAGTTATTTTACCTCCGTGACAGAAATAAGTGTTAGTTTGAAAGAACTACATGAAAGTAAACGGCTGCCTTTGCATTTTTGTGCAAATTTGAGCATATCCTGCAGCCTTATATCGCGAAACACGTCGTGCGCAATTATTGCTTTTGTTTATAAATCTGGCAATATAATTTTGAATCTAGCTAAAACTCTACTAAAGTTGTACCGGAGTCAGAGTAACGTTTATGAATACTGTAAAATACTTTATTTTCGCTATTTTCACAGAAGGGGTGATTCAGTGAAAATATAAACCAGCAAATATACCTTTTTCCTAGATTTTACATTCAGCTTATCAAAAATTGCTAAAAATAAATTGCATAAAAAACACCCTAAAAGTATTTTCGGTTAAAATAAAGTAAACTCTGTCCATATAGACGCCATGTTTGAAACTTATTCTTCAAATTTGAATTAAGGTAGAGATGCACTTTATTTGTGAATTTCAATCAAAAATAGTTTTTTTCGTTTTTTATATAGATTTTTATCTAAAGAACATTCTGTGAAAATTTGACCAATGAATTCTTATC